AAACTGACTCTATGTCACAAATTTCTTTTAAAAGTAACACCAGAGCATATTACTTGAATTGTTTTCATAATTAAGTCACTTGTAACTTATTTTAACTTTAATTAAAAGACAGAAGTTAAATCAATAGTCAAAACCAGTTTGATTTCGTCACTTTTCTTACTGAACAATAATCGGAATGATTAGACACATTAATGTTTGTAAGGGTGCTTTGTAAACTATAAAAATGCGGAAACAAAGATTTTATTATCGCATCAAAAATATGCTTTATAGCTTGTTGCAATGACATGATTTTCCTTTTACATTCCAGGGCATTCTCATATCAACGTTCGAGCAACGTTTTAAAAACATATATACTTGTCTTCACATCCCCAGAGACTTATTTTTCAACTCTCTCTCTTCTCTTGTATCTCCCTCAGTGCTTTATGTGTTATTTGTAGACTCTGAAGCAAGTTTAAATACATTATTTTACTTGATCCTTAAAATAATTCTGTAAATAAATGCCAGTAACACTACTTCCATTTTACTGCTAAACCGACCAAGTTCAAGGATTTACCCATATTTACAGGATCAGAAAGTGACAGTCTGAATTTAAACCTGCCTCTTTTGTCTTTAGAATCCACTTATAGTGTTTCCAGTATAACTTCAACTCTGAACTTTCTCTTTCCCCAAATATATTCCTGGATCGACAACCTGTTTCCATTTTCATTCTTATGGGTTACTGTAGTCAAGAGATTAAGAAACTGATGTGCTAAGGTTTGGATGTACAGAGGCTGTGGTGGAAAATACGATGGAGATAAGACAGAAAATGGCCGATTGCGTTAGCTGTAAACATTAGCATATTAAGTCTTTGAAGAGACTTTTAAATTAAAAGACTGCTGAGGAAGAAATTGAATGCTTTAAGTAAAACTACAAAATTTTTAAAAATTACAGCAACCCATACTACTCAGTAGGAATTAGGTTTAGTCAGTGGAGAAGTGAGCCAAGTATCAAAAACCACACACTGAACCTAAAGATAACTGGCCTCTCACGATGGTTTCTCAGGACCTGCATTCATTAATATTGGTAAATAATCAAACCATCAATGAGTTTTCTAAAGTAGCTATTAAGGTTACTTTTTAAATAAAAAGTAGTAAATCACTACTTAAAAATGTGAAGTATATTTTCAAGGCTGAAATATCTTTATGAACTTAAAAAAATGTAGGATATGGTTTGTTCAAGCAGTAATAATGTACTTTTCCTAAAAAAACAGATTGAGTCTTACTATTAAGTCAAATTTACCCCAAACCTGAAAGTGGGAGCTTAACTTCAGATTATTTCTGTCCACTAAATTTAGAGTTTATCCTTTTATTTATGGGGTATATTCTAAAAATGATTTTCCTTTTTTATACAGGAAAAACCTTTACACTGAGGACAAATTGGCATTCTGGTTGCTCAACACAACTTTCCCTTTGCATCTCTCTTTAAAAAGGTATCAAAATGGGATGTTACTTCCTTAATAACAGATACAGTACTCATAATAAATGTCTTCGAGTGCAGAGACAGTAAGTAGTATTTGCATTCTTGCTCGTCCCTCCCTGTCTAATGCCTATAACAATTCAAAAGACATTTATGTCAAATAGAGACTTAATATCTTTCCAATCGAATGAATAAATGCGGAAGTCTAAGTATTTAATATGGATGCAACATGAGAATTCATGAAAGTAGCAAAGAAGGCATGGATGAAGGGAAATTATTTTAGTATATTTTCAAGGATTAACTTTTTTGCCCTCACAAGAATATCAAAGTTTCTCAACATTTAAATAATTCATCTATACTTTTACCAGATACTAAAACAAAAATGTGTAGAATTCATATGAAATACGGGATAGCCCTTAAGAAATGGAATGATATGAATAAAGTTTATCTCATTTAGAAATAAAATCTGTTAAGAGCGTTATAGCTCATAAAAATTCCCTTGTGCCCCACATAAAATTCAATAAATCTTAGCAATTAATTAGCTGTTCTACGGTAAAGCACCTACATACTAAATTATAGCATCGCCCAAGCCTAACTAGTTCTTGAATGACATTAATAAACAAAGTCACAATAAGAAAAATTATTTCTTTCAATTACCTAGAATATGTATATATTTTTCTTTTTTTTAAAGCATCAACCATAGAATAATGCTAAAATCTTCATATAAATGAGCTCATAAAAAGCAAAATGATGGTAAGTTTCAGAAATATGATATGTAATTATTCTGGCTATTTACTTACTTTAAAAAGACTATTATCACTGGCGTCGTTAAAACTAAATCTAAACTTCATCAATCGGTACATTTGCATGTTATCATCCTACCTAAGCCCTTAAGAATTTCTTAATGAGAAGCATAATACAATGAAAAACTTAAGCCAAACTTTCCTTTGTTCTCTGAAATTCCAAATACTCTAAAAGCACACTCAAGCTTGATTTCAAAAGTAGTTCTTTTTTATAAACTTAACTACTGGATCATCAATTTAACAGCTGTTGAATTAGAAAACATTTCACCAGTAAAAGTAATAAATTAGTAAGAAATGAGTAAATTTCTTACTAATAGCAAAGTTATGTTAATATCCCTGAAAGCCACTGAGAGCATATACTGTGTGCTTCTCCAAAACTGGAAGCTAGTTCAGTTTCAAAGCCTAAGAAAATATACTAATATGAATTATGAATTAACTAGTAATTCAAAAAGCCAGTAACAATAAAAAAAAAAAGAAAAGAAAACTTTAAGATTAATTGACATCAAAGAAGTAGGAAGTATCACTTCTCACACTCTCGTATGACACATTCAATAGTGTGCTTGTAAAAAGCTTCTTTTGGTCAAATCAAAATCAAAGACAGCCAATTATGGACTGAGGTAGCGACTGGTGTCGAATGGAGCGGTTCTCAACCAGGAGAGTGTCCACTCCCCCCGCTGAACACCTGGCAATATCTGGAGACGACTTTTATCGCCCTGACTGGGAGGCTGCTCCTGCCTGGTTCCCATGTTCCTTCCAAGCCTTTCCTGAGATCTCCTGTGTACTCTCCACCTGATGAGAATAACAACTAAGTCCCCTACAACAGGTGTCCCCAACACCCAGGCTGTAGACCGGTACGGGTCTGCGGCCTGCTAAGAAACGGGCCACATGGCAGAAGATGACTGCGAGAAAGTGAGAGAAGCTTCCTGTGTATTTGCAGCCACTCCCCAGCGCCAGCATCACCGCCTCAGCTCCACCTCAGATCATCAGGCATCAGATTCTCACAGGAGTGCTGGTATCTGGTGCGACAAAGGTTGGGGACTGCTGCCCTACAAACAAGCACCCACTGAGATGCAGCTTGGAGGCATGAGGCCAGTCAGAACTGTGCTTCCCACCTCAAACTGGAGTTTCAAACTGTCCCAAAGCAGAGCCCAGGACAGAGCTCATTAAACAGGGGGTCAGGAACATGTGGAGAGTTCTAACACTGGATGCTGAGAGACAGAAACCCGAGGCTCGTCTAAAGTCAAAGATTATGACTAAGCAAGATTTCTCTGCCTGCCACTGTCAGCTCAGGAAGCTGACTAAATACAAATCAATCAAGGCAAATCTACGAAATGCCCACTACATTTTGAAAGGAGCTGTAGTGAGAGAAAATGTCAGAAAGCCTAGGAAACAAAGTTCTGGAGTGGCTAAGCCACTAGACCTCATCAAAATAAACAGGCTTTGAGAGGCGCTGAGGCAGCTCCACTCCGGGAGAGGAGCCTCTCTAACAGCCCTCTCAGGGCAGGGGGCTGAGAATGGCAACAAGACACAGCAGGGTCCCAGAGAGCAGAAGTGGACGCCAGCTAGCCGGAATGAGGAAGGCATTCCCTTGGAGAGGGGATCTGCGTTATTCCAGCTGTGACCCAGTGACCCTTGTGTGTTGTGTCCCCTTCTCTCTTTCCCAGGTAGTGCTTTATCTCAGGTGAGCGATTTTTCCTACATCACTGTATAAGGGGTATGGTGGAGTGTTTGCATCAACACTTATCACCGATGGCCAGAACAAGAGAAGAAATAAGAGGTCTGGAAGGACTGCCCATTTCATACAGGAGACAAACAACAAGCCTTTTAGGTCACAGCCCTCTGGAGGAGGAGGAGGTAAAGTGGTTCTTAGTTTTAGGTGGGCTAGTGAGTAATGACTCGGCTAGCCATCAACATATTCCGTAGCTTGAAAGACCACCTCTGACACAGACTAAGAAAATAGATTAATATCAAGTTTCAGCCAAAACTTGGGAAGCAGGTTATCTGGATTAATCCCCTACCTCCCACCATCAATACAACTCATGTTAAGGTACACAGAGTACTGATACTCTCTTTTCTCTCATATTCTAGAGAATTATTTGCAGTTCTCGACCACCGAAAATGATTGTGACTAGAAAGATTCTGACCAGAAATACTGTCTAAATGCTAAACCTACAAAATGTGTTGAAGAGCAGGAAAACTAAAAAACAATGTATGCGTGTGTTCGAAATGCAAACATGTTAATGTTTCTGCCACTGTCAGGACAGCAGCAATGAACCAGCATATGTACCATAGCATGCTTTAGGGCAAGAGCTCCATGTTTTCCATACCATTTTTGTAAGTAGTCCAGTGCCTCCAAACGAGCACCGATCTCAAAAGTGATTCCAGGACGATTTGGGGGCTTTTTACTCATCTTGAGATGCTATTCTTCAGTGTTCTTTTTTCACTACCTCGAGAGGAAAAAAAATGTTAGATTCTGATGCATAAAATGCATAAGGATTTAAACAGAATTCTTAAAACATTACAAGAGAAGCCAAAATAACTACCGAATTTTTTAAAAATTTGAATGATAATTACCAATATCTACAGGCAAAGTACTGTGCAACTTACGGGCAATCTATCAAGAATGAATTAAGAAAAAGGACATTAAAGAGATAACTGCTGAAAAAGAATAAACAGTTGGGCATTAAAACTACAATGCTTTAAGTTTTAACTTAGTTTTAACTTGGAAAATAACCAAGAAAACTCTCCACAGTAACAACTGAAAATGTTTTTCGGTCTTTGAAAAATCAAGACAGCTGAGTGTTCTGGAATATGACTACTGAAATTCTTAAGAGAAAAATTAACCAAATTTTTCAACAAATATTTAGTACCTGGTAACACAAAATACTTGATAAGACACTGAAGAACACACAAAGATGGAAAAACGACAGACACACTCCTCTGTCAGTGAAGATTTTAATAATTCCTCTTGTGATTAGGATTTTTCATTACCTATGATCTCCCACCCTGGCAGCAAATGATCCAATAATTTTAATTTAACATATGAAGTTCCAAAGAAAATTTCTTTCTTATACTTCACATTCAGTAAGCAATGATGACATGCCCCTGTCAATTTCAATACTGACAATAAATGTGGTTGTAACATTCAAACAAGCAAAAAACTACAAAAGAGTTATCTATTCCTCCCTAGATCGCTGACACATGGACTATTTATTATCCTTTTGGACACAGGGGCTGCCCAGCACACTTGAGGTAGCCTCTTTTTCACTACCTAGTACCTAAAGAATATGAACTCATTTCTGATAGCCTGATCAAAATATAACAGGTAATCGGGAATGTAAATCTATTGTTATTAGGGGAGAAGAGATGGCTCTTAATTCTGGTACTTAGAATTACGAAAATGACAATGCTTCCAGTTTAAAAAGGAAAACACACAAATGTGTAGGTTTTTAAAATGGTTTAGTCACCACTCAAAAGGGACAAGACCTAACAGCAAACATAAAAACCAATTTTCCTCTTTGAAAAAAATCTGATCTCAAGGGGAGAAATAACACCAACACCTGCCATAAAATATGTGAAATAAACTTAAATACTAATGGGGGTGGGGGGCTGATATTCTCTTGCCATAGAAGAAGCAAACACTAATGCGTTAAAGTTAACAGGAAGCTATCAGGGTTATTTGGTGTAAACGGCACAAAAACATGAATATTTTTAAGAGATCTGGTGCAACGTGTAAGGCAGCTACTTAAATGTCTGTGTAGAAATCTAATCAACCTTTCTTGCTGTTTGTCACGGGAAGAACTTCGCAGGGAGTAGCTCGCTAACATTTTCTAGGCTCAAACTGCAAACCATAAATAGTAATAGAATTACGACGTATAATTCCACAGTGATACTTCGGTTTGAGTAACCAGAAAAGGCGAGATTTCCTCTTTCATAGGTGGAGAGGGGAGATGAGGAGGGATTTGAATTAAAGAAAAGTAAGACCAAGTAAAAGTCTATTGGGGAAAAAACTTGGAGCAAAAAAGAGAAACGGAGACAGAACGGAGAGGAGTAAAAACGGGAAGAAAAGCGGGAAAGAATGGCAAAAAAAAAGAAAGAAGGATGGAGAAAGTTGTGAGAGATGACAACTGGAGGAAAGGGAAAATTATCAAGAGGATGCAACACTAGCAAAGTGAAGCAAAGGTCAGAGAATGGCCGCGGGGCCAAAAAAACGGTGGGGAGAGATGCGGGGCGGGAGGAGGGTGGCAGGAGACAGACAGGAAAGGCTCCGACAGCGCTGGCGGGGAGCTGGAGACGCCTCCAGGTTTGACAGTCGTCCGGCCCTCAGCAGGGGGGAAGGAAGGGAGGGGGTGAGGGAGCGGCGGCGCCCAGACAATAGGGGCGGCGAGTTATGGGGAGGAACGCGGGAGGGGAGCGGCCGGAGAGAGACACCGGCGCCGTGGCGTTCTGGGCGG